ATTATTTTTAGGTAATTAGTTTAGGTACTGATTCCGGTCCTAAGGGAATTACTATTTCTTTATACACAAATGACAATAAGCAAGATCCCATTAAATCGATGACAACAGCAGAAGGTGGCATATTTTATTTTACTCCTATTCAGCCTGGAAAATACATTCTTGTTGCAAATCATTCCAAGTAAGCTAATCTAAATAATTGATAAATTTATTTTAAAGCATGAAAACCATAGAATAGCATTAGTTATCTCTTTTAGGTGGATATTAAAAAAAATAAAATTGAAGTAACGGTACAAGAAGGAAACACAGAACTTGCGGATGGCAGCTTAGTGGTATCTGGATATGATGTCAGTGGCAAAGTAACTAGTGAAAACGAACCAGTAGCCGGTGTATCCTTTATTCTTTTCGGTGTAAGAATTATTTCATTACTTTCTTTAATTAGTATTTCAAGTAATTATTATTATAATATTATTGATTAATATTTTTGAATTTTAAAATACTCTTTATTAACAAGAATGAAAAACTAAACTAAAAAAAATTTTCTGCACATTACAGAATGGCGTCGCCGAGAAATGTGAAACCACCCCGGTGGATAAGAATTTTGAATCCAAGAAACCGCTTTGCCACGTAATTTCGGATAGTGCTGGTAAATTTGTATTCCCCAGTTTATCACCTGGAGATTATAAACTTGTACCGCACTATGCCGGTGTCCAAACAAAGTTCGATGTTCAACCACCGGAATTGTCTTTTAAAGTTAGCCACAACAGCGTAGTTCTTGCTCAAAATTTTAAGGTAACCGGCTTCACAGTCGGTGGTCTTGTTCGTAGCTCTACGAACGGAAATCCTTTGCCAGGAGCAAAGATATTCTTGTCACAAAAAGAAGTCGCAGTCACGGATAAGAATGGGAAATATATACTAGACAACATGAAAGCTGGCCAATATACACTTAGAGCGGAATCTGGTATATAATATTTTATAAAATTTCTTGTAGACCGAATCTTTCATTGAATATTTAAAAATTATTGTACCGACAAATTATCTTTTCCAGCAAATGTACAATTTAGCGAAAAGACAGTTAAGATATCTCCTACCTCACCTGAACTTCCGGTTCTGATTCCTTCGTCGTATAAAGTTTCGGGAAAAGTGACTCTGTCGGCGAAAGGGACGCTGCATTTTCGCCGAATATCTATACAGAATACAGCCGCTACATTCTACAAGGAACTGGACACTAACGAGAAGACGGGAGAGTATTCTGTATATCTCGCACCAGATAAATATCAACTGAGTGTGATTGTGAGCACGGAAGAAAAAGCTAAGGGTTTACAGTGAGTAACAACAAGAATATATGCAACTATTTATAAAATTATACATATGAAAATGTTACAGATTATAAAAACTTAATAAACTTATATTTCCAGATTCTATCCGCTGCAACAAACGATTGATGTGACCTCCCAACCAATTATTAACATCAATTTTTTACAATTAAAGGCTACGTTAACGGGAACAGTAAATTGTCTGCCAGGAACAGATTGCAGTCAAGCCTCTGTCACTTTGAAAATACTCGACGGAGTCACGATAAAGACGGTGCAGGCTAAAGGTGTGCGGACATAAATGCTAATCGATGTTAATTGAATATCTTGGTGTAGTATCTTGTGCTGCAATAACAAATATGATTTTTTTAAATAAGAATGATCTTTTCGATTTCATATATTTAAGCTTGAAAATTAACTTGTTTTTGAACACTTAACGTAAATATTTCATACGTATTTGTTATTGCAGTAATTTCTATTTAATTTGATATGATACTAGCGTCCCCGTCTGTGAAGTTATTTTCTATTATCTAGATGGCCAGTATCAGTTCACGGACGTATTGCCCGGTCACTACGAGATCTTCATTGACAACGACGTATTTTGCTGGGAAAATCCGAGTTACAGAATCTCGATAACGTCAGAACGTGCCGAAGTACCGCCGTTCAAGCAAACCGGTTTCTCTGTTACCTTCATATCGTCCCACGACACAGCTGTAGAATACTCCGAGCCCAACAGCACGAAACTAATAACTCTACCTTTGAACAAAGGTAGTATGAGGCATTGTGTACCTAAATCTGGGGCGTATACTTTTGTTCCAAAAGGTTGTCACATATATCAAAATTCTTCCTATACTTGGGACACAAGCAACCTCTCTCCAATTCTGCTGCATTCCACCGAGCACACCCATAAAGGCAGTATCATAAGCTTAAGTGTGCAAAATGATCTTAAAGTAAAAATCGAAGACGCAAATGACAGTGTTATGTAAGTTGTAATATAAATTTTACATATATTTTTTAATTTATATATTCTATTACATTTTTTCATTGATATTTTTATTAATTTCTTTGAGATATATAAAATGATATATGCGTGCAATTTATTTTATTCATTAATTTATTTTTTAGAATTGGTCCATTGAAACATGTAAAAAAAGACGGTGTATACAAATATGAGTTCGAGTTTAAAGCGAAAACCGATAATATGTACACGATTACTCCGTTATCAGATATTTTGCTCTTCAATCCACCATCTTTAAAAATCTTCGGCGTGAATGACTGTCATAGTGACATCGCGAGTTTCGCCGGTGATTTAGGAAAAGTAAATAAGTATATTATTATATCCATTAAATGTATAAGATTCGCAAACTAAAGCAAAAATATCGCTTAGATTATAGCCGGACAGATCTCTCCGCCGTTAGAAGGTGTAACTATACGAATAAGTGGGAAAGATGAAGAGTCTCCAATTCATACATTAGTTACACAAGCGGATGGTACTTATAGTATTGGACCTCTAGATGGGAAAATTGAATATAGGTATTTAAAGTCGAATTTATTATTGTAATAACTTTATTATTGTAATAAATTAATCATTGAATTAATAATTGTCTACTGTTAGTGTTACGGCTGAAAAGGAAGGTTTCGTAATCACTGGACCTGATGCTAAAGGAGTGTTCTTAGCGCATAAATTGGCTGAGATTATCGTGCAAGTTTCTGATCACGCTGACGATTCTTCATTACAGGTATCTTGATTAATAAAACATCAATCAGAAAAAACAAAATGAAGAAACAAAATATAGCATCCTCTGTTCTTTTGCAGGGTGTACTTCTTTCTTTGTCAGGCGGTCAAAGTTATCGCAAGAACAGTATAACCGGTGAAAACGGAAAATTCATATTTAATTCACTATCACCGGGCGAGTATTATCTACGACCCATGATGAAGGAATATCGCTTTGATCCGCCATCGAAGATGATCAACGTTATGGAAGGAGCAACCGTCAATGTGAATTTATTCGGTAACAGAGTTGCCTACAGTGCTTACGGCTCCGTCACGTCCTTGAATGGGGAACCGGAAGTCGGTTTGCTAGTCGAGGTTCAGGGCCAAGGGAACTGTTCCAGTCTCCAAGAAGAAGCCACAACCGAGGAAAATGGGAATTTTAGAATCCGCGGTCTTCAACCCACAGTGAGTAATTAATAATATAATTTGTTTAAAAAAAAAAAAATGCAGAATGCATATTTTTTTGATCGTTCTATGAGCATTATGTGATGATTTATCAATTCTTATTAACAGTGTACCTACGCCTTCCGTCTGAAGCCGAATGTAGAGAGCAATGCTCATATACAACGCACAAGTCCCAATTCTCAATTGATCCAACCAGTGGAAGACATCCATGGTCTGCGACTGATCGCGTTCCATCCAATCTCGCGCACGGACGTCTCGGTACACGTTACATCTGCCGAACCGGAACATTACCGCACGATCAAGGTGAAATTATGCCGGGAGGACGCTCCCGACTCGCCGGTGCATATCTCAAAGTTGGACGTGCAACAATCCACTAGCAAAAATACTGACACTAACTACAACGCCGGCTTTTTGGTGCACTTTCCGCCATTGCAAGCTGACGGCAGGAAGTACTTTGTCCAATTGGAATCAACGTTATCTCAGGCTATGCACAAGTATCGCACCGTCCCGGTTTATTTCGAGGCAAACTCGTCGTTTAAGTATGTTAAACTAACATTCAACGCGGAGCGGAAGGTCGATCAGGGCGAGATGAATCAGACATCGGTTATCGCGTTGCCATTCATTATACTAATTGCAGCGGCATTTATCAACCGCGAAAAACTATGGATTTGGTTAAATGCGCTGCTAGAGAGACGCTCCAAACCCGTGCCAAGTTCTAGAGCACCCGTACAAGCCATCCCTATTGATCCCAGAGCCGATGATATCATAGTAGAGCAGATAATGAATATTAACAAAAGGAAAACAAAACCGCGGAAAGCATAAGCCGCATTATTATCATGATCATTTACACTCAAGAGAGACTTATTTATAATGCTCCCGAAATTGTCAAAAATGTAAAAACATCTTACATCATGTTGTTTTATACGTTGATCAATAATAATTGTTCAATTTTTGTCATGCTACGTATAGTCATATATGTCGTGTAAATCAGAAAGACTGTCCAGGTACACTTACAATATATCTAGATTTATTAATATTTATACGTACGGGACAATATACTGCTTGTCAAAAGTGTGAACTTTCTTTTATCTTTCTTTATATCTAATATCTTTTTGATTAAATTAAAACACTATTTTTGAAAAGAAATTAAAAATAAAAAAAAATAAAATAAAAATAATAAACTATATAAACTTCTATTCTAACTAATTCTAATTATTCTATTTCTTTTATATAATAAAATATTTTTTAAAATTCATTTTATTACTTTTAATTTAATCGAAAAAGATAAATGCGTATGTGGTTGGACTTTGGACAAGTAGTATCAAAATGAAGGATTACATGTTTGATTAAAGGTGTATATAATGTACATGGATCGTTTGTATGTATGTATGTATGTATGTATGTATGTATGTATGTATGTATGTATGTATGTATGTATGTATGTATGTATGTATGTATGTATGTATGTATGTATGTATGTATGTATGTATGTATGTATGTATGTATGTATGTATGTATGTATGTATGTATGTATGTATAGTATGTATGTATATTGAGAAACTTTAACAAACGTAATGATTTAAGATGTGCAAGTACATCCGATAAATCATGATATACAATGTTAAACAAATAAGTATATGTAGACCGAGATGTTCAAACGGGAAGTAGGTAATTCAGTCATTTAGGATTTTCAGCATCTATTAATCTTTTAATTTTTGAATTTATTAAATATATTTTTTAAAATACCTATTCTGAATAGTAGAGTAATCTAAATTTGAATCCTGGCTGAAATGATATTCTTTACAATACAAATTTCTTGGGATATTTAATAAATATCAAATTAATAAAGCAAAAAACTTTCGAATACGTTTTAAAAAAAAATAATATTGTAAATATTAATAATAAAGGCTAAACCTTTCTTGAATTTATCTAATAAATTCAAAAATTATAAGATAAAATAAGCGCTAAAAATTTGGTCTGATCGGATAATATTTGGATTAGCTATTTCCTATAATCGTTAAGTTATATAAAATAAGTTACATACACAAAGAATGCTGTTGTACAAGATTCGTGAAATTGTTATAAAAAAGATTCTTAAAATTCTTGCAAATAGTGTAACCAATTTTTATTCTTTTAAGGAAGCATTTTATTTTATTTTGCAAATTCAAAACGAGGAATGGAACTTGGATGATAGTTAAGAATATTATTTTTTTAAATTTTACAAGCAATACTTTTGAATTTTACTTTCGTACTTACATATACATTTACGAACTATATATTTAGATAACGAAGTACGCCTAGAAAGATATAACATGCTTCATTATTAAATTTTCAAATTCATTATTAAACTTCTATATTGTATATGTATATATACGTACCACAGGATTTGCATAGTACATGCATTTGTTGAAGTTAAAGGCTTTTTCGCATTTGTCGTTACCTCCTGAAAAAAAAACACGCAAACATCGTGAAACATTGAGACTTTAATTTTAATTAACGAAATAACGAAAGTGGTATTATTATTTATAATGAAATGAAATTAGCGGAAATAGCAGGAATATGTTATAAATAATAATTACGCTATTTTTATATTTTTATAATTAAATTTGCATCATATTAGAATCAGCATAACTGCTTTAACAAATAGATACTTGCCTATATTGCGACATTCGTCAAGCATTGCGTCTCCAATGTGTCTGTACGCTTGCGGGAACATCTTGGACAGGAGTTTAAAGTTTATCTTCCCGTCTTTTTTCATCTATTCAGAAAAAGAAGTTCAGCGATTTAAGTATATAATTATTGTCATCTATATTTTGCAAAAAAAAACTTCTCTTACCACTCCTGCTTTTTCCAACACGCATTTAAAATAACATGCTAGGACTGTATTGTCATTTGGAAATTCTCCTAATTCCACCGCCTCTAACATATCTGCAATTAAAATTTTTAATATAGTATCGATCTAAGTATATAGTGATATGGATAAAAAATAGACAGTGCGAATTATTTTTGATAAATATTTAACGCTTGAATATATTATAATTCTTATCAATAAGCGTCAAGTGAATTTTTTCACTAAGAACATACCGACTGTTGCGCCAGTTTCAGCGGTACACTTCTTTCGTAGATTTCCAACTAATTTCCTCAACTCATCATGAACAGTAGTCCAATCTATATCCTATTAAAATTATTATCGAATTATTTATAAAGATCTTGTACATTTAAATTGTAAATTTTATTCGTACTCACTTCTTCACTAGAAACGATGACGAGCTGCGTGGCAATCAGAAAGGCACAGATAAGAATCAGTTCTTTTGCCATTTTTCACTTTGCATACGTATTCGATTCGAATTTAGCCGAAAATGTTTACTCGCCCATCTAAGATTACTAAGTGCGCGGCCGCGTAGATTCATCGAGAATTTATGCGAATCCTGATCACAAAGTGGGAGATAATAATTAACTGGCAAAGATGTATCCTCTTAAAATCAGTAAATCACATGAGCAATAATTACAGTCAGGATAATCAGAAGTTAATCAGATATCAAATTCAGAATGTAAATTTTATTAATCGCATATGTTTTGGAGTTCAAATTTTATTAAGTGCATGTGTTTTGGAAAAATATTTTCTAAAAATATTTAGGAATACTCTTTACTCAGATCTGAGTTTTTATATGGCGCAATATAAAACGATTAGTGTCTCGCATAGGAAAGTTATTTTTCATGAGCTTTTGATAGAGAAAATTTGAGATATAAGTTTGGGAAAAATGAAAATTATTTAAAATACCGAGAAAATTTTGCAACACGCAGCTTTGTATGTATGATCTATGCAAGCGAGAAGCGTGACGGTAAACAAATGTATAATAATAACTTGAGTATCATCCGACGCTTCCTAAGTAATTAACAATCCATAATAATTCCTTCCTCATTCCACAGTCTATAATTCCAGTATTTGGAAAATTACATCTAACGTCCGGATCAAGCGCTACAATGATGCGTACTATCTGAAAAAATGAAATGTTTTAGCCTTTTAATTATAAGCCGCAATAATCCTCCTGCGTTGTGTAACTTCACATTATCGTATGCAACAATTAAATTTTGTCGCAAAATTTTGATTTCCTATCGGATTAAAGCTAGATCGCTCATGAAATTTCTCTTGCTTTTTTTTCTAAGATGATCTAATAATTGTAGCGCTTTTCTACTTGCTGAACGTGCGTCAGCCGCGGCGCTATTTCTGCTCTGTCACAAAGGACTCGTTTGCGAATGAATGTTTCAAGTGTGTGTTATAGTTGTAGTTCTCTCCTTCCATTGTGTTCGACCATCAAGTATGACCTCAACCGGCAATTGGAACGTTCTACTGCCGCAATCTGTGATATCAAACTCGGTCTTGTCAATGAGAGCGCCGTCAATTTATCACATCTGCCAATCAATCCGATAAAGACACTTTATATAAATTATGGACCCTGTTGAAGAAAAAAATTTCAGCGTGACTTATACCGAGTCCTCTTTTCTAGAAAAAGACATATATATATATATATCCGATTCAGCAAATGCCAAAGGTACAGAAAGCAGGAGAGTTTGAAATATGTCGATTAGATCGTTGAATTCTTTATTTCATCCACACAACGTATACATTTTAACGCAATGCGACATGTACAGCAGTTATATGATAGAGTGGTTTAAACGTAAAAACATCTCGACGCATTCGGCGAAACTATACCTTGAGCATTTTGTTCTTGGTTCTTCTTATCATCGTCTTCCCTCGACCCGTTAGAACAGATAGTAAGTCTGAAATCGATTGCACATGAGATTCACACTCTGCGATTATCGCTAAACGATTTGAAATCACTCACCCTCGGTGACAGCTCCGCGTAACACTTGTTGAACGTATAGGCATACTCGCAATTATCACCCTTTGCTGTAAACACAAAGATAATTGGCTATTAATTCCTCGACAAGATGCAATACGAAAGATCGTGTGTAATCGAAAATAAAATTGAGGGAAAAACATTACAAAATAAAAAAAAAAAATAAATGGAAGAAAAGAAATTGATCAAAGATTTAAAGTTGGGAATAATTGTTAAATTAATGCGATTTGTGAACATAATAATTCAACACGGAAAAAATGTTGAGCAGTAAGTGTATAATTAAAAATGTAATCTTGTTGACTCAATAAGTATTAATGAAATATGCGCATGTTTCTTTCATTAGTGTTATTGAATTAACAACATTATTTTCAGTTACCTTTGATGCATTGATATCATTTTTTTTCGTGAAGAAAAATAAGTATCCTTAAGGAATTACGATTTTTCGTTTCATCTAAAATGTCGTCTTATTTCTTATTTTAAATCATCAATTCTATTCTTATGGTTTCAAATTCTCAATTTTAAAGCAAATTGCTGATAATTAATTTCAGTATTCTCGAGAGGATTAATTTCAGCAAAAGATTTTCTAAGTTTCGAGCACACGCAATCGATCGACGGGATGAACAAAAAAGAAAAGGACAGTAGATACCCAAATAGTTACCAATCCCCTTGCACTCGCTGATCGCTTTTTCAACCTCAGCTCTATAAGCGGGTATTCTTTGGAAGAACGTCAGCATTCCATTCAGACTTAGCTCTCTCTTGTCATCGACCAGACCGAATTGTTCCCAGAGGCAATACATGTAACACTGCAAAAAATTAGAACGTATAATTTTTAATGCCTGCACATTTTACGTATCCTCGCAGAGATCGTTATTTTAGGATGCTAAGTTAACGATTCTTTTTTTTTTTGTTAAGTGTAATTACAAATTCACGCATCTGGCGTATTGATACTCACTTTCAATTGCCGTGTTTCCGGCCATTGACCGTTTCTTACCGCTTCTATGTCGGCTGGAAAAAAAAATATTCCATATGATCATGGTATACTTTATACGTAATCCCTATTGTATTTCTCAAAATTAAAATCGAATATATTTCATATGCATAAGCGAAGTAGAAACATCTTTAATCTTTTTGATGTACACGAAAAAAAACAGCTTTGTTAACGTAAAACGTTAACGTTTAAAAATTTGATCGTGATTAAAAATTTTGGTATTAGAGCTAAAAATAATTTTGTTAGGCAATCAAAATAATTATGCAAAATGTTCAAATTGATTGCCAAAATATAAAAAAATTTTTGTAGTATTATCGTCATGCTTAAAAGTGTTTATAAATTATTTTTAAGCCAACAAAATCATTTTTATATTTGTATCCGATTAAATTTTTAGATATTTCAGCGAAATATGAAATTGTGAAATTCGATTCAATTTAATTCAATTCGAAGCAGAATAGTTAATTTTGTAATTTGCCAATATCAACTGCATACAGTTTTATGCGCCGCCGCGGTAATTAAAAATGCGATCGATAATTTCATTCTCGTTAGAGGTGAACGAACTCTCCTTGAATAATATGTACCTGTCGCGACCCCCGTTTGCGTTTGGCAGGCGTTCACGACACTGGCTGCCGTCGCGATCATCTGATCGGAAACGAAGCTGGGTCTCGTCTGCAAAATAGATCAGTGTCATTGAGACTAATAGGTGGTAGTTGAGATAGGTAGCGAGAGACGAGCGTATTCGAGGAAGCTGTATTGACCGACTATGATATATTTACTATGATATATTTTTTTTCAATTTAGCAAAATCGATATCATAGTCAATTATTTTCCTTCATCGTTACACTCTTTAGTATTTAATTATTTTTGCAATTATTTTGATGTCCTTTTTTATTTCTATAATTATCGTATTCTGCCACAAAAAGACGGAAAAATTATTATTATTATTGATATCCTTCCTCGATTGAAGATATTTTCATCTTTAAAAAATTTTAACTTTTTCCGTGTTTAATGATAAATAAAAAATTGAATACGAATTTCGAGATTATTTGCTATGTACAGAACATCAAGTTCAAAGAAAATCATTGCATTATTGAGCACCCATTTATCTTTAATCGTACAGATTCGAGAAAAAACAACTGCCCAACCCTTGTACTCTTCGAGTTTCATTTAAGCTTCAAGAAACGTAGTTGCTTGATTTTTGAAGAAATACACAATGAAAAAAAAAAAATTTTTTTCTACTAAATTTTTTCAATCTATATTTTTATTAGCTTATTTTCCAGAGGGTTGTAATATTCGTTCGAGCTCCCCTAAGATTCGTTCTATGTCTCCGCCACCGTCCCATTTCACACGTACCCCACAGGATACGATCCACGCCTGAAGGAGGAAACCCAGGGCGATTACGAGAAGCCTCATCCTTGATATCTTTCAAGATCTTCTTATTTTTATCACTTTGCGGAAGCTTCCTCCTCGCTTGCTGTTGTCGGTGGTGCGAGCGTACGTCCCTTTGCCGGCAACGTTTCCGGCGCGTGTCGACGTGTGTGAAGGCGTGTGGAGTACGCGCCGTGCGCGAGGCGAGGGTGCGACTGAACGGAGAGAGTGGCGACACGGGTGAGCAAACATGGATCGGGATGAGAGATGAGGCACGGGGTCCAGAAGCCGAGGGAGAGACAGAGGTGGAAGCTGCGAGCCCTGTCGCGCGCCCTGGAAGCCGATTCGAGAGCAGGTCGCGAGCTACTATCTTCCTCTCTCTTGTTCTCTCGTTCTCGTGCGCCGCCCTTGCGCCGCGTCCTACAAAAAGTGTTCGATAACGATAGGCGTTTCTGTTATAAAAACTCAATCGAACGTATGTTTATTAATTTTACGCAACGCCATACCTTCACTTCGTACATAAATTCAAAGATGAATACAAACGCTTCGGTATGAAATTAGAAAACAATAGAAATCTTTTTCCTTTTTTTCATTTTCATCTTCTTGTTTAGATATTTCAAAATATTTTCCTTTAAATTTTTAGATCAGATCAGAGTTCTTTTTTTATCGGTGCTCATTGTTAAATCGGCAATGCGAAATGTTCTACATCGCATAATACCGAGCGCGCCTCTTTTCATCGCACGAAGATAAATTACAGTCTCTTCAGTATAGAAGAGCTTTCGATTCTAGGCCAGGTCACACACATAGATGGATTTGATTGGCGGATGTTACCAGTTTACGATCCGCACCCTACGTAATACCTCCTCTATCCTATACGATGTCGACACAAATACGAGTCCTCTGTCCCTCCCTGCACCTCGATCTTCATCTTCGCATACGCAGTTTTATGTCATCTCGTTGAGGACAACGTTATCTTCGCGCTCGTTATCTGAAATAATAGCATCCTTAAATACAAATATTACGTACATGAGAATTGAATAAAATTTATTTACAACTCTTTTAATTAAATCTTAAATCTTTAACAGTACTTCTATTCGTTTAATTTATAACGTTCTACATAATCGATTAATACGAAAGTAATAAGTTTTGAAAAATTCTTTCTGTATCGAGAGAATTATGTATTTGAACTGTAATTTTACATTTATTCTACTGAACGCTGTCGGACCGATGTAATCCGTTTCTACTGCTGTGAAGGAATGCCATTTTTGCTTGCATCAGTTTCGCATTCATCTGCAAAATGTACAGGTAATCAGGAATTAGAATAAAAAAAGGAAAAAACAGTAGATAACTAAAATAGAGGTCAATGGATTCTTTGTAAAATTTCATTACGGTCTCAATTATTCGCTTCGTATCAACAAACGCTAACAGATGCTGCAAGTATAGTTGATTCCGATATCAATTTAGATGCGATATTTAATTTCCATCAACGACTCAGCGTAGAATTGTACGAGAAATGAGTTTTATTCTACTTTGTCAATAACTTTGACGAAACTGCAATTAACATAATCAATTGACTTGCCATTGAGTGATATGTTGCTGTGCTATTTTATTCTGAAAAGTATCATCAATCTTTTGTTGTTTAACATTTAACAACAATGAAGAAAGAAGAGATTGGATCAGGGACGACGAGATATAATTAGAAATTATCTTTGTAATTTCTAATTCTTGGTTGAAATTAATCGGTGATCAAAGTCGCTCTTATCGCATCATCGGGTTGCTCCTCCACGATTGGCGCATGTCGCAGCTGCAGGCATGCATGTGGCATGCATCTGTGAGAAAAATAAAAAAATTAGGTTCTCAAAAATGAATTAAATCAATGATTGCGAGATATATAACAATATGCAATTTAACAAATAGAAAAATAATATAATGTATAATACAATAACGTATGTTAAATCTATTTTAAGTGATCTACATCAGATTTCAGAATTTTACAATTTATTCACATTGTGTATCTCAATGTGTATGTGTTTAATATAATTTTATATAAACATTTCGATTTTTCTAACACATTAATTTTCTCAATTTATTTCCTATCTTTTTCGGATTAAGAATTAGAAAAATTTACGTAGAATAACTTAATTAACGTTAAAATTAATAAAAATTTTAATTTTTTTCATATCAATTCTGAAAATTAGAAGAAAATAAAAAATGAATTAATTTATTCTTTATCTTTTCATAGAACTGAAAAAAATAGCGAGTTAAATCGAGATTAAAATTGATAGATTGGTAGAAATGGACAAAAGATACGAATGGAATTTTATTTCCAGTTCTGACAGGAATCACGGTGAACTTTATCGTTTGAATATCCTATCCTATTTCTTTCTTTTTCGGACAGAACGTAAAAACGCCGCGGTAAACAGATGGGCCCGCGAATCTCTTCACGTGGTGCGTCGACGCACCGTCCCGTGAAAGCGCAGCTGACACGTGGGTTGCGCGCGCGAGGCTTTTCTGGGTCAATACAATTCCGGCAGAGGTGCGCGAGCGCGCCCGAGCGGAGGCTCCAAATAACCTCACTTCTCTTCGGGTACACAGTGCTACGCCCGTGGAACTATTGACCACCGATCACGCGACGCAATCGGGTATCTTTTCGCGTTGCCACGATCGATGGATCGGATCTGATTCATTCCGTTCCGACGTAATAAATCAGACCGGATCGAACTGTGTTGCGCTGTGCGAATATTCATGTTAAGGCAAATCGTATCGTCCCGAACGAAACAAATCGTATCGAGAGAAGACGCAGCCGTACCACGGACTGTACTTTTCCCGTTGGCCGTGCACGCGCGCGCGTACAGTCCACGGGACAAGTATTGACCGTCGCCGCGAGTATCGCATCACGGAATCGCCCAGTGTAGTGATCCACTGGGAATACGTATTTCGTATCGATTGCTCTTAGCAAGTTCCTGAAAGGAAGAACGAGATAGTTGAGAAGCCTGAATTAAATCTTGTGCGACACACCTGTCGCTCATCGCGTCCGTATCCGCGGACTGTACCGAGGACGACGCGGTACAGTCCGCGGAACTTCAATTGACGACGCCCGCCAAGGCTCTCGCACAGTGCGATCTCGAGGATCAAAGATCATCCGTGTCCACGTGGCTTTCGTGTTTTGCGCGTCGTTCCAACATCGCGACTTCGCCCGGCGGCGTCCATACGGCCGCCGCGGAAGGACAAAAGAATCTCGATGGACTGTACTCGGCGGCAGTTGATTGACCGCGGCGCGTGTCCCCCCTCCCCCCCCCCCTGTTCCATCCCGCTCGCAGCGGAGTGAAGAGAAGAAGCGAAGTTTCGACGAGCCAGGGAAGAAAAGAGAGAAGAAATCGGCAGGAGGGAAAGAGAGAGAAAGAAAAGGAGGACGACGTGGGTGCTTCGCGTCCGGGAGAGAGAAACGCGCGCGAGAATCGGCCGAGACGCGCGGCGGCGGTCCGCGCGGCTCACCGCGGCGACGCTCGACGACGCTCGACGATGTCGACGACCTGAGAGCGACGACGACATGCTGACCGTTGAGTTAAAATCCAAGATTTAATCCTTACTTCCAAGATGCTTGCGAGTGATCTTGAAGCCGAGTTCTGAGAGAGAAAGGGAGAGGGGAGAGAGAGAGAAAAAGAAGGAAAGAGTGTGAGATTTGAAGGCGACGATCATCTCTCGTCACGTGATTCGCGTTCTTTCGCGTACGTCACACGTCGCGTGCGATTTAAATCCCCCGCTTGGTCCGTTACCTCCGAAACGAAGATGGGCAAGACGAGAGGTGTTCATGAGACGACTCCCGAATTAAGGAATCGAATGGTGGGAATGTACGAAGCTGGTTTAGGCCTACGAGAAATCGCCGCCGCGGTCAATTGCTCGGTAAATAAAACTTTGCTCCGCAACGCGATTTTTTTTTTTTAATTGTAAGTTAATCTTTTATTATCTTGGCAAAAGTAAAAATCCATATAAGGATAACGTAAGAGGAGAATGTTAGGAATGTAATAAACCTTCATATTCCTTCTTCTCTTCAATTCCTTTTTCTGGATTTTTATTTTTGTCAAGGTGATGATAGTCAGTTTCTAGAATTTTCATACTTTAACTCTTGTATGCCTCTTACGTAGAGTACTAACTAGTGTCAATCAATCTAATCGATAATTATTTCAGCAACGTACAGTGAAGAGATGGCTGAATAGATTTGACAAGGAAGGCACAGTGGAAACACGAGAGCGTTGTGGACGCAAGAGAGCCACTACTGCGGAGCAGGACGAAGCAATTGTTCGTCTAGCTACTCAGACGCCCATAACAGCGGCGAAAGCAGTGCTTCCTGCGCTAGGTCTTACCTGTTCCGTGGATACCGTGAGGGAAAGACTGCACAAAGCTGGAATTCACAATTGGAGCCCCTCGCGGAAATACATGCAAAGGATTCCATTGGGGTCAATATTTTCAGTACATCTTAGATTTAGATTTGTCTATTTAATTATAGTACAACCATAAGCATGTTGAAATCTTTTAAAGATATTAAATTTGATGGATTCTTCTTTCTTTAATGGATTCTTTAATTTTTTTTGTATTCATTAGAGACTATCGTATTTGTATGTAAGCACGACCATGTATTTTTACCAGATTCTAGATCCAAAATTATTTAAGAATCTCAGATTTTAAATTGCTCAATTTTTAATTACGTATCTATATTTCAACAGTGATGCGGACGGGGCGGCGATTCAGCAAGCTGTATGGCGACCGACTGGCACTCAGTTAGGTAAGAAGAAAACTTCCAAGGATTCAAGCAAGTCCGAGAAGAGCAGCACCACGGTTAAAAAGAAAAACTCGACATCGAAGAAAGTCAGATCTCGAGAGACATATGTCGACGATGGTGCGCCGTCGGAAAGCTTGAAACAGAATCACAATACCGAACAGCAACAACAACAGCAGCAGCAGCAGCAACAACAACAACAACAACAAGAATTCGTATTTTCCCAGCAAAATCTTCCTCCACTGCCTTCCGCTCCTCAAGTTACCGAGATGCAAGCTTCGCAACCTGTACCCACAAGCCAAACAGAATTCAGCAATGCATTAAGTCTCGTGCAACAACCGCAGCCCATCTATCAACATCCAGGATTGAGCATGGTGCAAAATTGGCCGTTAGATTTAGTGCAAGGCAGTCATCATTATCCACAGGTTCGTTATCGTTTGCTTCTGAAAGATAAATGAGATATACGAGACAAATATAAATCCTATTTTCTATAGGGCCAACCAAATCCCATGCCTCACGAGCATCCCCCGCCGCAGGCGCAGCTGCAAGAACTGCACACGCAGCAAGAGCAGCAACATCATGCGCAACAAGCCCAGCAACATGTGCAGGCGCAAGTACAGACACGATTGCAGGAGCAGCAGAATGTTCAGTCTCATCATCACAATCTCGATCAGCAGCGACTACCGGTGGAACATCAGATTCAGCAGCAACATCAACGCTTGCAGTCCGGGATACCTAGTCCCGAGCAGACGAACGTGAACGTAGGATCGGAAAGTTCGAATTCTTGTAGTTCTAACGAGAACAGTCAGTCATCCTGCGAACCCTTGCAAGAGAACAGAGAATCGTCGCGGAAAGGCAGCGAGAAATCGGAGACGGAACGACAGAAAAGAAAGAAGAAGGGCGGAAAAGCGAAGGGAACGTTGGAGACCAGTGTGGAGATCAGGAATCGCATGATTGGAATGTCCGAAGCTGGATTGTCCACCCTGTCTATCGCGCTGGCGATTGATAGATCGGTACGTCAAAAATATCACTTGTCAAAATTTGCTCTACGTTAGATTAAACTTATACTGTAGATCTCTGACACGTATTGTGTATCATACGAACAATTATGAAAGTTGTATTACAAACTCGAAACTCGAACATAAGCAAGAGATTTACATGGACGTGATTTTGAATTAATCAGGAACGTACTGTTAAAAGATGGTTAGAACGTTGGCATAAGGAAGGCAATGTGCAAACGAAGGAACGAAAGGGCCGACGTCGAATCACTACCAAGGAGCAGGACGAAGCCATCGTCGCGATGGCTACTCAGCATCCTCTCACCGCCGCTAAATACGTAGCACCTGCACTAGGTCTTAAGTGCAGCGTAGATACGATTAGAGAGCGGCTTCACAAGGCTGGGATACACAGCTGGAAGTTAGGCAAAAAGCAAGGGTTAGACGATTTATATTCTTGCATTCTCTTTCTATAAATGTTTCTTAAAAAATCTCAATCTTTAAAAAAAGATCCATCGCTATAATTATAATTATAAAAAAACAGTTTAGTAGGATATCTCGTGTGTAAGAAACAAAATATATAATATGTGACATATATTTTTTTAGCGAAGGCAATGCAGTGCACACAGTTCACTTGTGGCAACCGAGTGGCAATCGTCCTAACAAACCGAAAATACCGGGAGAAAAGAAAAAGAAGAGTGGCAATAAGAAACGCGATCAGACAATGAATAACAGTCAGAAGCGCGTTGTGCGGAAAAAGAAGAGCAACGAACCGCTATCACAAAAAGCGACCCCGCCTCCGACAAACATAATACCAGAACAGTCCACTTTATCGTTCCATAATTCCGGAAACAGTAAGTGCCGATTGATATTTTATGATACATTTGTTCGGAAAAGAAATTCATTGTACTTTTAAAATCACTTTCCAGTGTCAAATTATGTTTCGGGTCCTAACATAATGCAATCGGTACATAATATCGCTGCGCCACCTCCCGCGCTGCCGCAACCGCAACCACCTCCGCCACCACAACCAATGCAGCCAATGGGGCCGATAATGCAACAGAGGCCGGATTGTAGATTGGCACCGATAGTTCCACCCGTATCGGGTCCGGGTAATTCCGGCATCGCCTATCCTTCATGCATGGTCGGCAGCAGCAGTCACACGAGTCATATGGAGCAAACAGACCCTCTAAATTACGAGCCGTACATTTGGAGTTTTTAAATACATCATTAGAAGCATTTAAACCGGATGTATGACTAAAAAATTTAACTTAATTTAAGCGTTTGAACAAACTTCATTTATTAGGCTTTCACAAAATCACGTTTATATAAAAAGGATTAAGTAATTGAAAATGTTTGAAAGTCGACGAATTCGCAAAGATTCTCTTAATATAATTAAGTATTGCAACATCATGACTCTTAGGTATGATTTACTTTTATACATAAATTGCAATATTAGAAGATATGTTTGTATATGTACGTGCGTGTGCAAGAAAGAAATTTGATATAATTTTATTGTTATGTCTCTAAGAAAAGTTATATATTAATTTAAAAAAAAGAGAGAGAAACATACTCTTTTAGTAATATAAGTGTTTAGACCAATTTAAGTCGACTATAGTGTGTAAATATAGAATCGTATAGAATAGCAAAGACATATGTCATGTTTATTTTGCTATATATTGTCTCTTCAAATAAGTCGTATATATATATATATATAATTAGAAATGATATTGTACAATTAAAAATTGATTTTTATACAATCGAATACGATCAAACTTTATTAAATTAAAATTTAACATTTATGTTATAAATATTTTCAATGGCTGAAAAGGAAGAAACAGGATATCAAAATATCAAACAAATCTAGTAAAAGGCACAAATATCTATTAATTCAGCGAATTTCTTATAAACAGCTATGTAAAATAGAAAATTCAAGGAACTTTTTAATGATAGATCTATTTTCGATATATAAATCCTTCTCAGTCCTTTTTTGGATATATATCTCCACAGATGATTTTAAACAATATATATTCTATATATTTAATTAACATATATAAATCTGCTTTAAAAGTATAGTACAAATTGGCATGTTCTAATTAGAAAAATGTGTAGTAAATCAATTTCAAACAGGCTGCCAAAATACATTCAATGTATAAACTGCCTTTTTCTATCATATTCATACATACACATTCATACATTCTTTTAACGCATCATTTTTTTTTAAATATGATTAA